CCTGGCAAGCTTCTACTAGGAAAAATTGTAATTAGTAGCAGTTCGGATTTATGCAGTTAAGACACAGTCTTTGGACGGAAGTGGGAGTGGTCCTATTAAATATTTAGTTGAATTATATTGACTTTTTTACCAACCATAGAACGTGGCTGGTTACCTGCAAGGAAGATCATTATGTGTGCCTCCTTAGTGTGCTATGAGTGCAACAAAAAAGGTTAGCTTATGTTTCCTTTTCTCCTTAGCACCCCTCCCTCTGTGTTTGCTTGCCTGGGCTTTCTATCATGTTGTTAAATCTGTAATGACTGGTTTGAGGAAAGCCAGCTGGGCTATGTTGCTATATAGCCCAGGGACACACGTGACTAATGGCCCCAAAAGTGGAAGAATTTAGAACCAGAGGCCAGGCTGAAGAGAACATATAAAATCTGAGTTTTGGAGAGTCCTTTTGTAGCCCTTTGCAGCTGTTTTTTAAGTTTGTCTTGAAAAGAAGTATATTAGCATATTTCTGGGAGGGTGTGAAACCATCTACTGGATTCAACACTTGGTGCAAGGCATTAGTGTTTTCATTTTTAAAAGCATACAATTAACTTTTTTTTTTTTTAGGGAAATGGATGTCCTTTAAGAAAAATACCACATTCTGGTACAGGGGAGACTGCCTCAGGTAGAAGCAGTGCTGGTAATACGGAATTAATTACACAGTCGGGTTCATCACTTAGTGTCTCTTTTTAATGGCTCTTTTTTCCCTTGAAGTTACATCACAGAAATTACAGAACCTTCCTTACAGTCTCGTACCTCAATTGTGCTATTGTCTGTTCCTAAAAACTGCCAGATTCAAGTGTACATGAAGAGCATTCTGTGGTGGCTACTGAGCTGCTTTAAAATAAATGTATTTAATTTCATTTCCAAGTTAGTTACAATACTAACATAACAGCACATAACTTAATGTTAATTGTGGTCCACTGTGTTCAAGCAGAGTGGAAGTATTGTCACTTCTGACATGAACTTTAGTCAACATTTACTTTAAAACAAGTTAGTTTTTTAAAGGGTAAGGTGTTATGGTCTTGGTTTATTTTTTAAAATCTTTTAAACATGACAATAGTTTTTTTTCCTAAACATTTCTTAGATGACACATCTCAACCAAAGCATGCTTCAAAACATGAGGCAATATCTCCAAATGCAGTGAGAACATCATCTGAGGTGGTCACTGGTATGTGGAAGAGCCAGTCTGTTCCTTCACACTGCCTTACATCTAAGATGTCTTCTGGGCTATCCAAACAAAAAGACTTTCCTCGGAAAAGAAAATGCACTGCCATGAATGTGGATGCTGACAGTTCAAATCAATCTGAAGTGTCAAGTTTACGTGACCCTGCTTTTAGTAGATCATCTGCAAAAAGCAAAAACACGAGGTCTAAGTTTGTAAAAAATATCCTTTTAAAGTCTACTTGTAATGATGTTCTGCAACTGATGGAGGCTGCAGCTCTACCTAGACAGGATTCTGCTCTTCCAGATGAATGCCTCAAGTCAAGTGATGAAAATGAGAAAAAAAATTGCTCCTCTGTAGGTTTGTCATCTTCATGTTCTGCATGTAGTCCTGGTAAAAATAACCACCTTTCTGTGGTGGATACCAAAGAGAATCAATTGCAGGTGGCAAATTCACGCTTTTTCTTGAAAAAGTCCCTTCCTTTTTCTCAGGAAAAAAGTACTGTGTTGCCTTCTCTCCACCACTTAACACAAACAAAAAGTGTGGAATCTTCTCTCCAGAATGCTGGCTTATCTCAGGTGTGCTATGCTAAGAAGGAGCAAGATGGGAAAAGACCAGAAAGACGTGCGCGTGGTAAAGCTCACAATTTTAAATCCAGTGACAGGTTTTCAAAAAAAAGAGACAAGACTTCAGAAAATGCTTCTGGTTCTTGTTCAGTGGAAGGTTCTGGGAAACTTGCGCTCTCAAAAGAGCCTGGTAAAAGTGTTCCTTTTTTGTTATCTTTTCAAGAAGGGAGCATCGAGAGCAGCCATGTGTCTTCACAACTCTTAGGAGAGTTAGAAGTTGAAAGCACCTGTAGAGAGCAGTCCAAGTTGAATGGAAAATCAAAAAGTCACTTTGATAGTGAAGATGAGAGTATGTCATGCAATTCAGATGATGATGATGATGATGTAGTATTCATGCCACTGCAAGAAATTCTCTCTTCGAGTCCCAAGCCACAGGTGGGACCTCTGGAAGAATCTTGTCATGACAGTTTTTCTCAGGACACCATGACTCCATTACTGAACCTTCATGTAAGTGGCTAAAAAAAAAAAAGCTTCGGATCAGCTTTGTTATGTTGCATTTTTATTTATAATGCATGATAACTCAGTTATTTGTCTGCAAAACTGGTTACTCAGCTTAAGGGTCCTATGCTGCATACAGTGTAGTCTGAGAAAGGGTGTTCTTGTTGCTGTGTTTGTCCCTGGAATGACTGAAAGATAATTTGTGTAGCCAGACTGCATTAGTTCTATGCCTTTCAGAGGTTTCTAGGAGTTTTCGTTTTTTCCCCCTAAAAAAAAAAAGGGCAGGAGGTTACATTTAGAAGACAGGGGAGGTCTTATGTTTTTGGATTTTTTCCTAATCAGGTAAGATGTTTGTGTATTGAACTTAACTAGAAGAAATTGATCTATCCATTGAGAGAACTCTGTGCTATACTCGTATATCCTTGTCACAGTCTGTGATTGTCAGAAATCTGTGTGCAAGTTCGTGATCTGTAAGTGTGATGTTTTCTTTGAAGCTGAATTTCATGGAGACTGAAAGTATTTTAGAAAGGATTTCAGAAAGCTGCATGATTTCTGCTCACAGGGGATAGATGAAGTGTTTAAAACCTGGTTTACAGAATATGATGGTCATTAATTGATGTGTGTTTTTAAAAGTTAGCCTATTGTTCAAAAACAGCTTGTCAAATAAGTAGTGATTTTTTAAATTTTTATTGTGAAATAATGCTTTAATTAGGAGGGTCCTGCAGTAAGACTTAATGTAGCATTCCTGACAAAGTTGGTACAGGTTGGAACTGACTGCATATAAAAATATTTTGTACTGGCTGGGTTGGAGTTAATTTGCTTAACAGCTGTATGGTGCTGTGTGTTTTGTACAAAAACATTGTTCATAAGAGACTAGTGTTCTGGCTGTTGTGGAGCTGTACTTGCACACCATCGAGGCTTTCTCCTTTCCAACTGTGCCCCCCACCCTCCTGCTGCAGCAAGTAGGCTGGAGTGGACAAAAACCTGGGAGGGGACAGAGCCTGGACAGCTGACCCCAGATGAGCAAAGGGATATAGTCCATGTCACACTGTGTCATGCTCAGCAATCAGAACCAAGCAGGGGCAGTTGGTCTGGTGTGTTGCCATTGCCCAGTCTAGCTGGACATCCTTTTGCTTGTGGGTGGTGCTGAGTGACTGCCTTTGCATCACTTTTTCTTTTCTGCCTCAACCCCTCTTTCTTCACTTACTAAACTGTCTTTATCTCAAACTACAAGTTTTCTTGCTTTTGCTCTTACTCATTCCCTTGCACCACCGGGCAGGGAAATGAACAAGCTCTATGGTGCTTAGCTGCTGGCTGGGGCCAGCCCACTGCTATTTTCTACAGTAGAAAATAAACCACAAAATACCTGTATAAATACTCTCATCCTCTCCTCCTGTTTATTTGTGGTCTGAATTACTGTCTCCATAGGCAGATGCTGAAGAGCTGTAATTATTTTATCTGTCCTTATGATGCATTATGCAAGCACATTATAGATCAGACTTATGTATTATGTTACATATATATTCCACAATCTTAACCAACATGTCTATGTAATTAATGGTTAAGACTGATAAACAGATGCAGCCCAGGTCAGATAACTGTGGGACATGTATGTGACCACAACACTGGGCCTATCCTGTTTCTGCATAATTAATGGCCAAGTGAGACAAAACAGTTAATAACTGTCCCAAATTTTCCATGACCATGGCTTTTGCATATCGTTTAGCATTCTTCTCTTGTCTTGTAAAAAGCAGCTTTTGTGCTCCTTCGAATAAGGTCTTGATTTCTCAGTTTTTCAACAATCACTTCAGATGTACTAAACAGATAAAATATAAGGCAAGAGGTTTTCAGTTTTCCCACATAAAGACATGCTGCTTGTTACATTTGAAAGATACCTCTGAATAACAAAAATGAGTACTGTATTAACAGGCTTCTTTATTAGCAGGTAGACACTAAATGCTTTTAACTTCTGTTACCTTTGGGTAATAGAAAAATCCACAATGAGAGGGTGTGATGCCACTGAATTGTGTTCTCCTAAAGTGAAGGAGCTCATAGGAGGAAGCTTTGTCACTAGTAAGAGGCTTGTCATTTAAGAAAGTGATGTCAGAAGGGCACTGCTTGTCCAAAGAACAGAATCATGGCCATAAAAGATTTCAGATCTATGTTGTCTGCCATTAGCTGAATAAAACACTAGTTACTGAAAAAAACAAAGTAATCTAGGTAGGGTTAAGACTTCCTTTGTGTGTTGGTTTGGTTTTGGGTTTCTAGTTGGATTTTTATTGGAAACTGGTTTTTTATGATTTTGAAGGTGATTTAGCAAACACTGGTTCAAACGCTGGTTCTTTGACCTCTGGGGACTTCTGAAAGTAACAAAGAGGTACTGAATAATTTTTGGAGTTTCTTGTCTTACACATTAGAATGGGGATTCCCAGAGCCTCAGTGAATGATAATAAAGCTGTGAGGTAAAAGGCTTCTGGTGCTGATGCTCTTTGTAAAAGTCAGTTGGAGGTCAGCCCCAGGGAGACAGGCATAGACTTACTTTGCTGTTCAGATCCATTGTGAAGCACAGTTATTTCTAAATTAATCACTGAGAGTGATTTGACTATTATATGAAATTGTCAAGGAACCTAGAAAACCTAAATTGTTACTTGTCCTGTTTTTCAGGGTCTCCTTTGGATTTCTATCTTCAGGTAAAATGTAATAGAATATGCTGAGTTGAAAGGGACCCATCAGGATGATCAAGTCCGAGTAGAAACCTTTTCCAATGTTAATGATGTTTATTCTCTATTACTGAATTAATGAATTGTGGTATTTTTTAACTTCTTACTGCTTCATTTACAGCTTTCTAAGCCTCCTGTTGTTAGCCAGGTGTCATATGTGAACAGCTTGGAAAATCTCTTGAAGGAGAAAGAAGAATCTAAAAGGTTTGTTTATTAAAGCTGCTTTGGAAAGTTTGGGGTGGAGTTGTAGGAGCTTAGATTTACCTCATCTCCCTGAAACTGATGGAGTTTTGGTAGCAGAAAGTGAAGCTTTGCCTGCTGATGCCACCAACCTACATCCAGCAGGACCCTGAGTACATCTTAACTGTAGAAGCTGAATGACAGGCAGTAACGAGTGATTTGTGATACATCTGTCTACCCATCAAGAGCCAAACTAAATTTACTGATGGTTTCATTATAGGTCACTGAGCCAGCTAGCAGCTGCTGGTCAGAAATAGCAGTTATGTAGACTGACTGTACTAGTCTCTTCAGAGACATTTGTAGCTCAGTTTTGGTTTCTAGAGTTGTGTGGACTGTTGGTATCTGGGGATTTACACAGTTGAGTGGACAGAATGAATGAATGTTCTTGCAAGAGATCTTTTGGGTAGAAAGTGCAATGTGGTAGATGTACTAATGGCAAGTGGTGGTGATGGGTCTATATGTGTAATTAACTGTTTTGATTAAGCATCTGGCCCCAGTAACTGTGGGAGCAGTGAGTACTCCTACAACTAGTACTATTTAACAACTACTAGTAAAATAATTTTTTTTTAAATTCATCCAGAAGACTGAAAGTTTTGTGCAATTACAAAAAAATCCATCAGAAGTTGGTTGAGTGTCTTTTTCTCTGACAAACTAGTGATTGGTTGTGCTGTTGGAAATTGACAGAGTTTTGGTAAACATCTACTTTGGGAATAGCAATGTGCTCGTTTTTTACGCGGGTGCAAATATGTCTTTCATACTTTGCCATGGCTGCTGATTCCTGGGTGCACATTCAGAGCTTAAATATTATCTATTTTAAGTACTAAATGGTGGTGATATGTTCTGCTGCTACTGTCATTTCAGAGTAGATGAACTAGAAAAACAGTTACAGGAAGACATACAAGGAAGGGAAGCCGATTGTTCAGATGGAGATGATGAGAATGCTGGTGGAGATGAAGACCTCTCAGAAGAGCACAGGTGATTCCAACTCCACAACCAATTAAATCTAATTCCTCACTTATCTAGCCTTTTTTCCTAATCTCTCTTTTCATCAATTGCTGTTAATATGTTTACATTAAACATTTTTATCATCTTTTTGGATTGGTTGGATTATCTTGGACATTACTGAATTTTACAATTCAGCTTTCACATAAGGCTGATATCTTCATCACCTGAATATAACTGTCTCAACCAGCGAATAGTCTCTCAATGTTTAAAATTATAAAAGCAATTTTGAATTTTGCAGGGCATTTCTAAAGAGATTTTCAGTAATATGTCATGCCATACCTGACTACCACCCTGGAGAAGATGTATTTGAGTTATCGACCTCTGGGAAAATCTTCAATCAACATAACCTTGACCTGAGGAATTTTCACTTCATCCCTCAAAATCCTATAGAAAAGCTCCTTCTTAGGTAACAATATCTTCTTTCTGTTGTGTTTCCTTGTACAATTTTCTTCAGTGTTGGCAGTTTTTCAGATAAAGCAGTATATTTGCAAGCAAATGAGCTTTGTCTTACTAAGCAGGCAAGGCTGACTCCATTTGCCTGGAATTCTCCTTTACAGATTAGCTTTATAGAACAGTGAATTGTTACTTGAAGCTTCCTTCTGTTCTCCTCTGGAGTTCTTAAAAAACATCTTAAATGAGACATAAGGAAGAAAATAGGTGTTCTGGCCTCTTCCATACTTCTGCTGTGTTGGGCTACCATTGATAACCTGACTAGTTTGTGGAAGATAAATGAGGAAGTGAAATGTTACAATGAAGAAAAGCTTCACTGTCCCAAGGCAGAAAGAGGACCGTTGTGGTGAACTGATTCATGATCTACTAATGTTACACAATGTCTGTTGAAAGACTTATATGTGCCACTTTGGCTTCCACCTGATGAGGACTGCAGAAAGTCATGATTTCTGACATCTGTTACATTCAGTCACTGCGCTAGCAGTGTGTCTCGGTGTGTATACACAACTGTTATGTAACTTGAAAGGGTTTAGATTCTATATTTATGAAGCTGTCAGGTTACAAATAGTTGGACCATACCACAAGCACAAGTCCTGAAAACTTCTTGTTATTTCAGTTGGCATTTTATTCCAAACTTGCACCAGTGAAACTGTTTAATCTTAAAAGATTTTGTATGCATGTGAGTGTGCAATTGTGGATTTGAAGAGGAGGAGGGTGGCTTCTCTTCTCTTGAGGAAGTGCTGTTTGTGATTATATTCCTTTGACTTCAGGCCTCTTTATTAATATGTTTTGAAGATCACAGGATATAAGCTTCAGAAGTATCTTGTAAATCAGTGACTGGAGGAATGAGCATTAAAAGAATCATTCCTTTGGGAAGGCAATTAGGATTTAATTGCTTGTGTATTCTGCCCAGTTGGCACAGCTGGCACCTACTGGCTGCCCAGTTGGCACATGGGTGTCTTCCCTAGCCACTTGATCAGTCAGACAGGTAGAAGGTATATCGAAAAGAAACAGATCTCTCAGCAGAGAGAAGACTAAAGAAAGGTATGTGGGAAAACTGGGTATTATTAATTTAGTTGCTTGTGACATACCTGACATTCTAATGAAGACTAAAGCTAAAATCCTTTGGTAATAAAAATTACATATTTCCTTTCTTCCAAGAGCTACTTTTTGCACCTCACAAACTTGCACAGTAAGATTAGACTGTCGAATTTTAATTGCTTTAGTTTGTCTCCAAGCTCTTTATTTAAATTAGTTTTTTTAACATTTCAGACAAAGTTTTTTTCTCTTTCCTTCTAAAAGTGTTGGTAAAGGTTGTTGAATATAAAAAAATCTTTATTCACGGGTCTCATTGAGCGTAGCAGCCTGTCTACACAGATGGGCATAATGGTTCATAGTACAATAGTGGAAATCAATGTTTGTTTGAAGCTGTTACTATCCAATAATACAAACGTTTTCAAATTATATGGTATAGCATTCTGGGGAAAAAGTTGTAAATAACAAATAAGGTTTAATTACTGTAGTGTATCATATAGTTAAGAGCATAAGAATAACACCTGGTTTGGATGTTGAGATCTTTCTTTGCTGTTGATCTGAATGGTGGAGAAGTTCTTAAGCTTTTGTGAAACTGCTGATTCAACCACTAACTGATTTTTTTCCTGTTTCCCCACCCCAATCTTTGTCTTACAGCTCTGGTGTAACACAACAGCTTTCTTTAGTTATTAATGGTTTTCTAAGTTCTGCTTACAATTGTGTATTGTGTCCTGTACCAGTTCTAAAGTGGCTTTTCCAGGTAAGACTATACTACTCTTGTGGTTATACTCTGTCCAGATAGATAATATGTAGTATTCTTCCTGGAAGCCAGTTGTAGCAGGAATAATCAGAACAAGTTTGTGAATCTGTTGCATTAGGTTAACAACTTTTAAATCAAGTAATCTTTCTGGGTTCTCATTTGCTCTCCAGTCTGTAGTACTTTGTCACTAGGGGTGAAACACTAGGGATAGCTTTTCTCCACACTTTCTGAGTGACTGCCAAGCTGCTCATCCCTGTCCTTCTTCATGTGTGTTAGTGCAGTTGAAAAGTGCACAGTACATGCCAGATAAGAAGAGATTTTTGGGTTTCAGGATGTAATAATGTGGGCCAGATCACAAGCAAATGTTAATCTATTTCCTTCCAACCTTAAAAAAAAATAACAAAAAACCCTAATTCAAACGTACTCCAGTATGCAAAAGTATCATTTCTACATATATCACTTTGTAAGTCATCAGATACCCCCGTGTTATCAGATAATTTTCATTTGGAAAGGTTGACATGCACTGTGGCTTAGAAGAAGGTCTGGAGCCTTCCTCAAAGGAAGTGTGGTGGCTGTCTGCTTTCTACATACCTGTGTCCATGTCTGAATCCTCAGGAATGTACATTGTTCTGTTACTCACAAAAATGCACCTCTCTGGTCTCCATTCTGTTATTATTTACCACATTCTAACTGTGCCTGAAACAAAAAAGAAATCTGGATCACCTGTGAAATTGCAGCCTGAGTCTGTTTATTTGCTTTCTGCTTTTGCCGAAAGGAAAACATTTTGCTCCTTCATGTCCTTCCCTCCAGGCAGTAAAAAACTGACTTCCACCCCTCTGTGAGCCCTGGTGTTCCTCTAATAAGGATGAAGTGTGAGCCAGTTCAGCTCACTTACAGAGCTGGAAACTGTCCAGCACTTGGAAGTGCTCCAGGAAACCTGAACTGTACTTTATTGGCATGTTTTTGTAGTTAGAGTTCTATGACAAACTAATAATTCATTGTTTTGGTTTAATATTGCATATGTTCAACATTTGTGTGACTGGAAAAAGTTGTACTTAACTCTATTTTCTCCTGCTTCTGATCAAGGAGTTCACTTTGATCACAGATGCAAATGGGTTCCAAAGGGATATATGGTACTTTCCATTTTCTTAACCCTAAGTACCTTCTTATGAATCAATAGATTCAACATGAGTTTGCACCATTTTGGTATTGCAAATAATTAATTTTCAAGTATTCATATTAGCTGTGCACTGCTTGAAGTAATTAACATTCACAATACACTCCTTGGTGTATATTGTTTTAGAGATTTTGAGGTTTGTTTTTTTGTGGTGTAGGTTTTTTTCTATTACTGTTTTTACTAAAGAGTTAGTTTATTTTTTTAATTAAAAGAGCACTGATGGCATCATGAGACTTGGTGTTTAACATCTGTCTTCTTTTCTTTCCACAGGTGATGTCTGTTCATCCTGACTATTGTGTTTCAACCCAGATTTTAGACAGATTGATGGACATAACACTAAAAAATGGTGAGTATTTGAAGGATGGAAAACTGAGCAGCTAACTGGAGGCAGTTCCATTCTATTAAGTGTAGAAAGGTGTTGGGGAAACAAGTAAAAGGCACTAGCTCTGTTCTGTGTTTCTGGCATAGATTTAGGTTCTTCTGTTACTTACGTAATGCACAAATAATAGGAGTTGGTCTTCACTGAGTGTGTGCAAGCTGTACCACAGGATGTGGTCCTGGCGTGTACTTGGAAGGCAGTGTGTCCAGTACAGATCCTTTTAAACTCACTTCTGTTATTTCACAAATAGAAGTGACCTGAAGAGAAACCCAGTCTGCTCAAAAGTTTACTCTCCATCTTTGCTTTAGAAGCTGCAGGTATTAATTTCATAGCTTGAAGACCACAAGGTAGTTTAATGTATTCATACCCAGTAACTAGCACTACATAGTTCATTTTCCAGATAAATGGCACAAGTGAAAAGAATCATACACCTGCACAGAAACATTTTCAAGGATCTTTTTCAGCCCACACTGCTGCCCATGTTTTGTGTTTTGCCTTCCTTCATCTGCTCTCTCAAATACTTCTCCATTACTAGTTCCTTTGCTGTGCTTTTCACATTTTCACTTTATTTAGATCCATCAAAAGCCACAAATTCATTTAAGCTTGCCATTTAACATTGTTAAAGTAACATAGTTCTCTTGAAGGTTCTTGCTTGGGTCTGTTCAAATTATACCACATATTTTGAGTCTTGTCTGAAATAGGACTGTGAACTGATACCAAAAGGAATGTTGCCCCCTTTATTTTGTGCTTTGCTGGCATTAAGCTTGATCCTGAATGAACCCTTCAAGCTGATCGACAAGAATTCAAATAATTAAGTCTGGGTGAGATCAGATCTCTGACTTCAGAGCCAGATCAAATAGGGTACAGTTTCACCTGGAAAGTTAAAATTGCCAACCATGGAGTCTTAAAACCATTGTGAGACCTTTTTTTTTTAACGAAATTGAACATTGAGATCTGAACCTGCAGTATCTTGAGTATTGTGTTGTATTAGATTTGTTTTTTTCTTACAAACCAAGCTCTAAGACCCAAAACTGACCAAATTCAGAATTCTGATTATTTCTGTCATTGTTTGGAAAACACTGCATCTAGTTTGATGCTGGTTTAGTGTCTGATGGATAAACTTCTGTAGACTTTGTAGACTTTCAGATATAAGTTGTACAAAGCATCCCTTTTTGCAATAAGCATTGTTTCTTATTTCTACCAAATAAGGGAAGTCCATCTGTTAAGCACTTCTGGTCTAGAAGTCTTGCCAGGTTTCAAATCTTACTTACTTCCACTTCCAGTACCAGCATAACACCCTCTTACCTGTGCCTACACAGAACAGTAACTTAGGTATTCTCTTAAAAGCAAATCTTGCCTCCTTGCTTATTCTGCTGTTTGTGATGAAAGAGAGCTGGGAGGGGAAAAAGGGTGGAATTTATTCACCTGTTACATAGACAAGATATTTCTCTGGCATAAGATACTGTTAGACTTTTTTTTCCTCTCATGGTTCTGAAAATAAGCACATTGTTCAATGCACCAATTCTTCTGAGATGAGAGCTGGTAGAATTGATGCAAAGTGCTTGAGCTTATGTTTCCTTTAAAAGGGACTAATGCTAAGAACTAAGTTTAATTTATACTGTCTTTTACTTGTAGCTTCCATCAGTGATGAACAGTCTAAACCCTGGATTCCTTCACTAGCTGATGTGTCAACTGTTGTTGTCAATATGGGTGTTGCATTTAGGTCTCTCTTTCCATTGCAGCATCTGCAGCCCAGCTTTAACGAGTGTGATATTTTGTAAGTGATACTCTTTTTTTTTTTTATTGCCTAGATCCTGTGAAAGCAACTCTTGTGTTTAGAATATAGAATCAGAAGGTTCTCCTTTATTTCCCCTCCCTTCCATCAAGACATACTCTTTAAATTCTCAGCTCAGGTCTTAATAAGCATAAATAAGGCAGAGCTTTAAACAATACCTGCCAGGTAAGAATTCAGCAAACTAGAACATTGTCCTGCACCTTCCTAATGGGAGTTTGCAAGAATTGTTGCCTAAATAGCTAGGCAGAATTTTAAGTAATTGATATGTATTTTGAATATACATTGAGAGGGATTTTTTCTGTTTTATGCAAATAAGCCTTTGTGAGCTTTTAAATTGTTGACTATTGCTCAGATTAGTGTCTCTTTTATTAGAAGTCAGATGCAAGAAACAGTGAGTAAGCAACAGCCAAGAGAAGACCTTACCCCTGCTGGTCCAGCGTTCTCTAGTGTACCAGAAAACAATTTAATTAATGTGGTTAAGGTGAGAAAACTCCAGTTACTGTGGAAGGGGTTTTATCGGGCTGGTGGTGTTGGGTGTTTTTTCCTCGGTTTTGTTGCTTATCAAAAACCTTGGTGTCCTACTCAGAAAACATGCCTGAGATTAGACACTCTCCTGGGGTTTCAGCTTCACATTCAGCAGAGATTATAAGGGAGAAGAGGTGGGGAAAAAATTCTGTGTTTTCAGTACTACTTGTGTATTTAGAAAGTCTGTCAGTCTTTCATTCAGTTAGATGAGGATTATCTGTGCAGTGGAGAAAGATCTTTCTTACTTTAAGGTCCAGGGAATATTGTCATTGTTCAGAAGATGAGCCTCCAGCAGGTATTAAAAAAAAATAGAGTGCAGTTACTTGGAGAGGGGAGATGTTTGTACACAAATGTTGCAAGAACAATATATCATTTGAGGTGCATTTTAATGTGAAGGTGGAGAATATAAGTTCTCATCATACTTTAAACCATTTTCAGGTTTTAATGCTTTTTATTTCTTTTCAAGTTTCTAGGCTTCTGTACAACAGTAATTCAAGGTGGATATACTGATCAAGAAATACTGCTGCTGCTTCTATTGCTGTTTAAAATAAGCTTGGAGAAACAGTTAAAGCAGATTCCTTTGATAGATTTTCAGTGCCTTTTCATAAAACTTCTGATAAATATAAAAGACTGGGATACAAAGGTAACTTCATAAATAATATTGTACTGGATTTATGAAAATGCAGCTTAATTTTCAGGAAGCTTTTGTTTTGAAGTTTTCATTTTTTCTTGACATTTGGAAAAATACTGCTTGAAAATGCAATAGGAACAAAATGAGAGCTTTGAATTCATGTGATATTTAGGAAGTGGATGGGTTTACTGATAAAAGGTTTTGTTGCATGACATGCTTGCCATTATGCTCTTCTGTAAGGGAACCACTGTACTCAAGTTAAATCTTGCATTTACTAAAATAGCTGTATGTCCAAAATAGCTCTCTTGATAGAATGAAGAGATAAAATGTGGTGCAAAACAATTTGATCTCATCTGCCCTGATGTAAAATAGTATTTAACAAATTTAAGTGCAGGTGCAATGCAGAATTACCTTTCTGAACATAATCTGTTAGACCAGTTCCTCTGAAGATCCATGCTGTGTATGTTTCTAGGGAGCGATGTAAACTCCTTTGCAAATACAACAAATACCCACCATGTCCATTCTTCAGTATTGGGATTTTGTTGTTTTTCTTCTAAAGATGCCTGAGCTTTGCCTGGCAGTGAGTGAACTCTCCAGTCATCACCATAATCTCCTGTGGCTGGTTCAGCTGGTGCCCAGCTGGATAATACGTGGACGGTAATGACACTAACATCAGAAATATGTACTATCATTAACAGCTCATTTATTAGTATTGTTAACTGTTGGTTTATTTATATAAGCACAAAGTCTGATAAATGCTATAGGTATTACATGGCACTTTAAATCGGGTTTTCTAGTATGTTAAAGATGTATGTGTAATTCTTGTTCTGTGCATGTTGCTTCTTGATCCCCTCTATTGTGAAAAAAGGTTATTTTATAATTTGTGTAGTTTTCTGGGCTCTGACTTGCTGGTACCCTATAGTAAAGAAAAACTTTACAACTTCAAGTTATGACATGCATCACCTACTCTAATTCTTGTCTGAATGACCAAAAATTAAAATTTTGGGATGATTCATGTCTGCTTTTAAGTGTAAAATCTGTCACAAATTCTGTACATTTGCAATTAATAAATTATAATGTATCTGAGAGAGGAGAATAAATTGGGTCTTCCTTGTGCAGAAGAAAAGCTCCAATTAGAAAAGGGTACTTCATATTTTACTAGCCTCTTTACTAGTCTGCTAGCACCTGTATTAAAAAAAAATCCAGTTTAATAGTTGTAAGCAATTCATGTGAAGCCATGAATAGCCTCATACTTTGTATAAACAGAGTGGATTTAAGAAATTTTCTGGAAAATCATTTTTTTAATTGTTTTTCAGGGAAGTAAGAAGACGCCTTAGCCTAGTGATAATTTCGAAGCTTCTTAAGAAGCATGTAGAAATACCTGATGACAGTGATAAACAGGTACTGCATATGTGTTGTGTATACAATTTCAAACCTTATAAAGCTGCATATTATTGTTTGTATTTTATGTTTTAATACTGTGCACCTGTTTTCAAGAATTTTGCAAAATTACCAGTTAGTAATTTTTTGATTAGTATTACAAGTATATTTGCACGTGTCATCTGCATGTTCTGCAGCTTATAAGAGCCATATTGTTTATGTGCCTGACCATTTATTTTGGACACTGGAAAGAGGTCTGCTCTTCTGCAGAAGAGTCTTGCTTTTGTGTTCATGTAGAGTCACTCTTATCTTTTGCAGGGTTGATTTTTTTTTTTTTTTTTTTGAGGCAACCTACAAACACTTTAGTTTGTGAATAGGCAAAAACTACCCAAAGAATGAAAACTCCTATTTTAATTAAAAATCCCATTTATGTTTTTGTCTTAGACAAATAATCCTGTAGTGGCACCGACTGTTCAGTTTTGTGTTGCCAGTAAGCCTGTCCAATTTGTTAATGTTTGTAGATGTCTCTTCTGCTTGAGTTTCTGGTGTACATGAAACCTTCTAATTTAGTAAGGAAGATGAGTCAAGGACTGAAGCAGCAAAATGCTGATGAAGACCACCTTGATATAGAGCTGGAACAGAAGGTACACAGCTGATTAGTACTTTTTTTTTGCGTTTGTCTTTTTATGCATACTCTAATTTTGAGAATGTTTATTTTAATTTCCCTTCACTGAGGGCAGTTCTGTTCATCTCTATAACTAGAATGTTACTTATGTTCAATTTTTGTTATAGTCATGGAGGAAGGAAAGAGGTAGCATGTGACTGAGGAACCTGTATTAGGTTGTTTTGCAAACAAGGAAATGGTCTGATTCTCTGCAGGGCTAAGTCACATGGGTGTCTTGGGTCCTGTCTTCTGTCATCAGAGGACTATCCTCCCTCCTGGTGTAATCAGTGAAAACTGTTTGATGCTGAGCCAGACCTTCACCTGCAGGCTTCAGAAGGAGATTTATGAATCTTTTAGTAATAGTTTTTCATAAACAGCTATTAGAAAGGTTTAGTATTTTCATCCATCCAAAACCTGAATATTGGTTTGGTTATTTTAGTGTATCATGGAATTTCTTAACCAATGTTTTGATGTGGATGTAGATGATGGGAATCTAAAGCCAACAGCTGAATTTAATTTTCAGTAATTGAAACTACAGGAGTTTTGTAGATTACTTAGGTAACCTAAAATATTACTGTTTTAAAATGCTTCTAATATATGAATATACTGTTACAAATGAGTTATTTAGGCAAATAAAGTTAGAGCAGACATTTGTCCATTGATGTGGTAGCTGGAAGAATCATTCCAGAAGGCAAAGATAGGGATTTATCTAGATGTGAATAGTTACAATTGTGCTTTGACTCCTAATGCTCTGTTGATTTCTTTCCAGGCATATTACCTGATCTACATCCTTCTCCATCTAGTCAGTGAAGCTAGTTTCTTCGATACTGTAAATTCTAATCAAAGGGTAAGTAACTTCCGTGGCTAGATCTTGAGATTTCACAAGACTGTTGGTCTGTTTTGGTAAGAGCTGTCATGTGGTAGATGATCACCAGTGGATATTAGCACTAGGGGGAACTTTTTTTCTTGGCCAAAGAAAACACAGAAGACCTTTCTCTGCATATACTGCAGTGAAAGAAACCTCTTCTCCATTTCTGCAAATGGAAGGTGCCTCAAAACATTAGCCTGTGGATCATTAAGACGTTGGTTTTGTTGACCTTTCTCAGGAAGTAACTGGAGGTTAACTGAACATAGAATATCTAAGAAATCTAATAGTTCTCTGAGCTTATGAAGTAGGGTAGAAGTTTTTCAGCCTAGAAGAAAACCATTTTGAAAATATCCAGTAAAATATGTTCAAACTTATCATTATTTTGTGTGCTGGAGTGCACCTGTATATGATCTCTTCTCTGTCATGAAAGTTCCCTTGCACCATGTGATGTGAGTATTTCTCAAGTAGTAGATTCTGCTTAGCCTTTCATTTCTGATCATTTACTGTGAGCTGCTTGCTGCAAGGTGTTTGTGTACATCTTCTGCCCTGTCAGATCACCTTGGCTGTTAAGAAAGCTGTCAGATGAACTATAGGAGAGGCAAAGCAGTAAAGTTTGGTTACATTTTGAGGCTTAGTTGTCTCTGTTTTCTACTCAATGTAAAATTGTATTTGGTAGAGAAAATAATTATATTGTGGTGCTCTTTTGAGTTTTGTTTATTTTTACAACTGCCTTCCTGAAGATCTGTGGAGAACCTGTTGGTTTTTTTAATTTCTAATGTCTCTTTGTTTCTTCATGAAGAAAGAGCCTATTATGCACTGACCTGTTAACCATCAAGTGGCAAGAGAGGTGTGGCTGAGTGTTCTGCAGGGTAGACTAAATCAATATAACTATTATATTTCTGGTCAGCTTCCAGTTAGATGAGGTAAACTGTCCTGGTGTTGAGACACCAGCAAATGTTTGAGTAAACTTCAGCACATTTCACCTGTTCTGCAGAGTGGAACCTCTTTGCAGCTGCTCAGTGAGGCATTGAAAACAGAAATTTTATGAAGAAATTCACAGAATGCAAATGAACTTGGGAGCTGTTATCAAAGGATCATGAAGCTGCAAAACTGCTTTAATACAATTAATCAGAAATTTAGAAATAAATAAAAGATGAGTACATAAACCTTGGATATGTTTTACCTGCTCAACCAATTCCTACAAAAGAAAATTACCTGAGTCATCATTACCAAAATTGATATTTTTAGTTATTGCAACTTCAGAACTTTTTTCCACTGGTAAAAGATCTGAATGGCACTGTGCTTGCCACTTTGAGGACAGAAAAGATTTACAAATTAGCTAGTAGGAGCTTTAAAATTTGTCACGTGTAGCTCTGCTATATTTTGGAATTATTTCTTCAAGCTCTTGGACATGATTAACTGGGTGTATGCCAGTAACTGCTAGAGGATCTTGTGATCTTGTTTTCTTTCTGTTCTCCTTCCTTACTGTGTATTTGAGAACAACTCAAACTGAAGCATATAATTTTGAAATTGAAATAATATTTGAAGAAAGCTTTCAGTTTTGACTTGGCAAATTTAAATAACTGTACTCTTTTGTCTTTATTTAGCAACACTTACTGAAGCTTTGTGGTGCCTTAGATAAGCACATAAAATGTGATATTAGGGAAGATGCTAGGCTGTTCTATCGAACTAAGGTAAGACACATGTAAGTTAAGGGTTTTTCTGTGTTCTTCATGTGTATTGTTCCCTCATACCTGCCCTGGAAATCTTTAGTTCCATGTGGATTTTCTTTTTTTTTTTTTTCTGGTTTCTCTGTCTGCATCATATCTTTGCATGTACAAAATAAACATATGCCCATTTTAATGCACTGAAAATGTTATTTTTGGTAGTAGCAAGACTGTTAAATGTCAAATGTGAGCTTGTCTTCTTTTTAGCCAGGTATCTCAACTTCTAGGCCCACAGAGTTGCTCTGGTTTTTTTCCTGCCCATTCCTGGTAGCTGACTCTGCTTTTCAGAGCAGAGGTGACATGCAGGGTGACACAGAGACGACTGAAAAAATAGCCCATCTTGCAAGTCTCTCTGTTTTATTTACAAATTAATGAGTTAGTTAAAATGTTGTGGATTTGAGCCAACAGTGTGTGTGATGTAGCATCAAGCTTGGAGAACTGCCTTTCATTTGCTTTATGGTGTGGGGCTCAGTAATGATAGTCCTAGTTTGGTGGCTCCCATACTTCACATGGTGTTGCACCAGGACCCATCAGATCAGTGGCAATGTGACCAGCCTCAGCTCTGAAAAGCCTTGACTTCAACTTTAAATCAGACATTTTACAGCTGTGTGAATCCTTGCCTCTCAGGAAGATAATAATTCAGTCAGATTAGTCAGTGTGAGTCTTTTTAACCAGTTAATGAATCTTACCTTGGATTTTTGTATCTCTGGCTGCTTTCACTTTTGTTACTGTTGTCCTTGTGCTGAGAGGGGAAAATATTACTTCCTTTTTCCCTATCACTTCATTTGTGTAATACTACAATAACTTCTAGAGGATGCCACTCCACTGGGTTTCAACACAGTGTGTGAAGCAAATCGCAGTTCTTAATGGCTTGGATTAAATACTTGTGGTTGGTTATGAAAAAATAAAGTTTTATGTAGAAAGAATTAATTTCAGAAGCAGACAGTTCTGCACAGTTGGCTTTTGTGATTGCAGTTGCAGGCCCCTTTCCTGGGTACAATCAGACCTGCATAACAAAACTAGCTCATCTGAGGGATGAAGGTGTGTGTGGAGACCAGAGGCTTGCTTGCTGATTCCAGACAACATGGAGAGTCATGTGGCTGTAACATGTTTGTGTGGAGTACTTGACTTTGAATTCAGAGTCCCAAATTACAGGGATCTGCTTGGAGTTGAGGTGGTTTTTTTTTTTGTGTCAACTGTAAAATCATTATCTAGGGTTTCACGGATTTGGGAGGTGGGAAGCAGGGGAGTATGAGTTTGGCTTTAACATAAATGGCTACAGTAATCAATCTGAATTTGCAGGTAAAGGATGTAGTTGCTAGGATATATGGCAAATGGCAAGATATGATACAAACCACTCGGCCTACTCAGGTACTGTAATGAGACCTTTTAACTCTTTTTATATTGCAGGGTGCATCTAACTCATTTTTTTTAGTGCTTGAAAGAGATTTTTTTTTTTTCCCTTCTTAAATGGCCTGGCTGTGGAATACAGTTAGATGTATTAGAGCAGATTAATTAAAATTCTTACTTTACTGGCTTCAATAAAACCAAGATGTCATCTTTATCCTTAAAAGTTATGCTTCTTTAAATGGCTTGTGTAATAGACTAAAATGCTAGTAGTGAGTCAAGGCACAGGGCCTATCTCTGATTATAGTTATTAGCAGAAGCTTAGAAGAGGATGTTGGGGCAGGAATGCAGTGAGGCAGTTCCTGCTGTTTCTGGCACTGTGGGACTTCAGCACTACTCGAGTCCAAGGCTCTATCTACATATGTTTAATGGCTTTTGTTAACTCCTCCCTCTCTGAATGCATCAAATTTCCTGCAATGATTAGAGAAAGCCTTTGATGCTCTGTAAAAATAGGCAGTAGTAAACAATGTCGTTATTAGTCTCTCATTAATATTTGCCTTCATGGTATCTAACTGGCCTTGGTGGAGTAGGTGGATAATTTCTATGAGATCCAGAGTTCAGAGCTGTTTCTTTCAGTCTAGGATTGTAAGGTTTCTTCTGTAAATTGATCAGACCAATTGTTTGTTTCCTGTCTTGGAATATTCTGGGCCCCTCAGTTCAAAAAGGACAGGGAACTGCTCGAGAGAGTCCAGCGCAGAGCTACGAAGATGATTAAGGGAGTGGAACATCTCCCTTATGAGGAAAGGCTGAGGGAGCTGGGTCTCTTTAGCTTGGAGAAAAGGAGACTGAGGGGTGACCTCATCAATGTTTACAAATATGTAAGGGGTGAGTGTCAGGGGGACGGAGTTAGGCTTTTCTCGGTGATGACCAGTGATAGGACAAGGGGTAATGGGTGTAAATTGGAGCATAGGAAGTTCAAGGTGAATATCCGAAAAAATTTTTTTACTGTGAGAGTGACAGAGCACTGGAACAGACTGCCCAGGGAGGTTGTGGAGTCTCCCTCACTGGAGACATTCAAAACCCACCTGGATGAGTTCCTGTGTGATGTACTCTAGGTGACCCTGCTCTGGCAGGGGGGTTGGACTAGATGATCTCTCGAGGTCCCTTCCAGCCCCTAAGATTCTATGATTCTATGATACAGCTACCTGTCTTGGGAAAGCTTAGCTTCCTGGTAATGTAGTGTATCACTTGCTAAAAATGTAAATTGTACATGCTTGGTATTTATTTCAGTTAAAAATTTTGTAATCAACTATTGGTTTGTAAAGACAATGAATCATTCCCAGCAATGTGCAAAGAAGAATTTGTGATGTGTGTGACACTTGATATAGAGGGGGAAGGAAATCAGTAACACATGGCCGCAGAAGCTACTTTGCAACTGATGAAAGTTGATAATGATGCAGCTCTTTCAGAGCTGTTTTTCAGGGATCATTTAGGGTTGATTCACATATGCTGAAACCGGCAGATGTTCCTAAATAAAAATCCTAGGGAATTTTGCAACACATTGTGGCCATCTCAAGCTGAGCACTTGCCTACTCTATCCTTTCCATCCATCATTGGTGTTCTGACTTGTTTACTGTTTTGTTTTTATTCTTCAGGGAAAACTGCATGACTTCTGGGAACCGGATTCATGAAATTTTCCCTAGTTCAGGGAAAGTAACAGAAAAGCTCTGAAACCAAGAAAGATGTAGAATGAATGAAGCTTCAGCTTGGTCGGAACAGAAGAAATCAGTCACCTGAGCTATAACTTGAGCTTGATTCAGGCAAATACTAGAAACACAAAGATCAAATTTGATAAACACTGCTTTTACCTTAAATATGCTACTTCTAAAAAATAAAGCTAAACAACAAACCACAGCTATTTCTATACCCCTGTCTGAATTGGCTAGGAATATTTTATCATATTGAAAGCTGAGGGCAGTTTCCTCATTTACATTTTAAATCACAAGACGTGTTTGAAAACTGTATGTGTTCATTGTCTTGAGAGCACACACCTCCAAGCATTGTTTTAGGATTGCTGGGAAAGAACTATCCTGTGACATGGAATGTGATTTTTAGAAACAGTGTTAAACCTCCCTTGTTGTGAGCAGGTAAGGAAGTGGGTCAGAATCAGGCTGAGTAACAGAATTGCCTGCATGTGTTATTCTGCAAAGCAGACTTGGCGTGGCCATCAGTGTCTAAAAAATACAAAATACAGCAGTTGCTGTGAACAAGTGACTGCTCCTGTGTTCACTTGAGCTTGGAAATGGAGGTTAAGAGTGGCTGTGCCCAAACAGGTTAAGTGGATGCTTCTTTGCTCTGTGGTTGTGTTTTATCAAATAACAAAATGGAATTTGTTATTACAATGATGCATTCATTTTAACTTAACTTCCTCATCCTTTGACATTAATTTATTTATGCGGTGAATTTGACTGCACAGGAAGTATTTCTGTAAGACCAAGTTATAACTGAGACTTAATATCCCAGTAGTATTTTTGTACTACTCTTTAGGATTAAACAATCATATCAATGTGTGTTATCTGGCTTCAGCACTTTCTCTAAAAGGAGAAAATACTAATCCTAAAATACCTGCTCAATGGAAATGTGAGGAGATGAGGATTTGGCCCCTGTGTGTAAAAACAGTGGAAGCTGTATGAGGTCTGAATTCCTTTGTGTGAAGTCTTGCTGCACACAGTGTGTGTGCAAAGCCTCAGACGCTGTTTGGGAAGTAACCAAAGGAAGATGTGACCTCCTTTTTTTGTGCTTTCTCTGCAAATGCCATCATTTAAATCTGTGGTTTGTCTGTAGGATGTATGTATATATGAAGAGAAAGTCAAGGTGTTGGGTAGAAGCACCAACTAGGATTCTCTTAACTGAGATTTTTAATATCAACATGCGTGTTTTATAAAGTTTCCTTTTAATTTTTGTAGATTATCTTGTCTTGTATGATAAATTCCCTACAACTTTCCAAGATGAGAATGTAAAATAAGGCTCAAAAAGCCCCAACTAACCTTTAGATTTAAGTATGTCTATTATATATAAAGTAACTGCTATAGAATGGACACATCTTACAGAGAAGGTATTTTATTTGGAAATTCATATTAAATGTTTTGTCTTTAATTTCAAGTGTTAGAGAGTTAGCCTAAGACTGCAGCATCTCTGTTCCCTTCACAGGATAATCAGCTTATCTTTGTTCAGACAAAAGTTATGCTCATGGCATTGTTTGGGGAGGGGTAGGGGGGAAGAAAATCCCTTTTATTTTTTTTTTTTTTAAACCTCAACATGTTATTTAAGAATTGGAAGAATCTACCTCAAAGGGTATCTTTGGCAATAGAACTGCTTTAGGCTAAAAAAAAAAAATGTACATGGTGTTCTATATGTATGGCAATGCCATCCTTTGCTCTGCCTGTCTTATAGTGTACCAGCCTTCCCTCTGCTAGCAGTTGCTTACTCAGTTTAATATATTGTATGTAATTTTCTTAATGTTTATATTTTTTCTCACTAATGTTGTATAAAATCTGAAAAAGTTGCAGAATGTTTACTTTATGTAATGTGTATATATTTTCTTACCATGTAAAGTTGAAGTTGCTGTCCTGTATATTTTGGAGAAGGAAAGGGGAGGGGTTTAGATGAACAGCTTTTGTACTGCAGTTCAAAGCACATTCAAACTGCTGAGGGTTTTTTCCAGATTAAATAACCACTTTGATATTTACTTTTATTAATTAGAACAATGAAAAAATAAAGCCAGACATGCTTTTCTAATTTAGTGTCCCTGGACAAAATGGGCATGCCTCAGCTCTGTTTCACCAAAAAATGGCTGTGGGTCCTATTTTGTTCTTGCAACACACGTTGTAGTTCTTGGGTTCACAACTGATCAGCTTACTATAAATGGAGAAGGCCTTGAAGTCATTCTGAGCGCAGCCAGTCCTGTGTTTTCATGTTTAATGCCTGTGTGTACATCCTGGCATTCTTCCCCTCTCTTCCCCCTCCTGCTTTGTCTGGACTTTTCTTCCATCTGTTTTGTAGCCAAGTAGTAATTCCCCAGTTGCTTAAGTCTAGACGTGGATTGAATTGGAGCTCATCAGCATCCTTACAGAGATGATCCCAAAGCATCGCTGAAGAGTCTTTACAAGGGGCAGCTGAGCTGAGCTCTGCTTCAGGGCTCTTGCAAATGAAATCACAAACCTGCTGCCGTTGTTTTGCTGACTCATTTACTGGCCCCCAGCCAGAGGTTGCATTGGAAAAGGCTGTTTGCACAGTAAATGTCTTAACTGCTTTGGTTGTCTTCAGATAAGCATTTTGCACTGAGGTTTATCTTTTGATATTATGTTGGCTGTATTAAGAGCCATGTTATCTCATGTGAAATTAGTTGCACTTTATTGCAGTAGTAACAGAAAAAAAAATAAAGGCTGACTAGAAAATACACATATGTGGCTCTGCTTCTTTTTAAAATTTATTTTCTGAAAAATTTCTGTATGGATTAAATAATTTTAAATAACAAAAAAAAACAACAAAAAACAAAAACAAAAAGCTTCTGGCTGTAAGTTGAAGAGACCTGCCAGCAAAACTATTTGCACATCTCATATCCTCGCTATTCCCGTTGTGGAGCTTGGTAATGGATGAGAATTTCAGAAGTGAGTAATGACTTGCAGGTAGGTCTGGCTGAAGGTCAGCAGGACACGTATTGCTTCGCTGTTGTGGTGGCTGCAGGAACTGTCTGATGTCCCCAGAGCTGAGAGCTGAGCAGAGAGATCTTTGGGCAAAGCAGATGACTGGAACAAAACAGGTGAAGTGTGCCCTTGTTATCAGTGGAGCAGCTGGTGAGATTGCTGTGTGAGACAGGATTTCAGAGGTAACATTTCAGTGTGGAAAATACTTTTTGATAATGAGAGATGGATACTGCAATGCCAGTTGTCTGAGCCCAGACCAGCCAGGTCTGTCTCCATCAAAGGCACCCATGCTTAGCATTGACCAGCAGCCAGCTCTGGCTCTCAGGGGTGGACTAGCCCAGGGGTGGGCACTAGGCACAGGGGCTGCAAAGGGACTGCTGTATCTTAGAGGTTCAAACAAGGGCTTCTAGGTAGTCAGGTTACAGGAAGATTCTTCTGAGTTCATCACTAGCAGCAATGCCTCAAGCCACAGTATTGACACTAATCTGATATGTTTTTATTTCCTTGTATGTGTAACACAGCGTGGCTTGGACTTGTGCTTTGTTTTTCTTCCACTGGCTTTTAGTGTTAGTGTCACTTGCTTTTCCACTGGAAGGGCTGAATCATAAAGTGTGCTGCTGGAGATCACCCTCCTACTTGTTCCTTGGGCTTATGAGCTGCCACTGAACTTCTTGCCCAAAGTTCCCCAATGGGAAACATCCCACTGTGCCAGAGGGGCAGTTTCTGACACTGGCATATCAGTGCTTGTTGCAGTGTCCCAAAATAAAGGCTCTTGGGACTGGCTGGGCACTGTGGGAGCCAGCCTAGACAGCAGATAAGATGCTTGAGGAGCTCATAGGAGCCCTGGCAGCTGCTGTGGGATCTGCCCTTGGAGCTTCAAAGGAGCTGCCTAGAGAGGTCAAACCATCATTAGTGGATTTAGATCATTCTTTGTGGTTTAAGTTATCAGAATGCTCTTAATGACGTTCAAATTGCTGTTTTTCCATCTTCCCGTGGGCTGTGAAATACCTTGATGTTTTGCCTTGTGGATGTTTTGCCAGCTTTTCTGGTGGGGCCCCTTCTTATCTAGTGTTGAAAAGGGCTTTCAGTGCAGGGAAACTGTGGGAGGATACCAGAGAAAGTAAATTCCTCGAAGGGCTTCTCCTTGAGAAGGTGCTTTTAGTTTTGTCTGACTGCTGCTTTTTTTCAGCCAGCAGTTCCTTGCCTTTGTAGTAAGGAACGTGAAAGGGAATATTCTGTCTGGTATCAAAAGTAGGGCTGGTTGGTGAGAAAGGAAAAACATTCGCATCTTCACGTAGTGATATTTTGATTCTGGTGCCGAAAGCTGGTCTTGATATCTCTAGGCCATTGGTTAAGTTGTATTTCCAGGTGACTTTTAAGCAGCATTTGGATGTGTTGTACTCTTCTGAATGCCTCCTTTGTCTGCACAGTGAGCTGCTGCTGGGGTTTCATCTCCAGCTTCCCTGCCGCCTCCCAGTTCCATATAGGGAGGTCATAGGGGAGGGGATGGAAACTGGAATTGTTCCCCTCAGTCATCAAGGCTTCTTTGCCATCAGCCTGAGGGGAGACCTAAAGCTTGTCAAGGCAGGTTTGGCCCGTATGGTGGGGAGGGGAGGGCTCCTGGCCACGGGATGCAGAGCCAGCCTCACACTTTTCTCCCAGTGCTTCCCATCGGGTTTGCAGCTGCCTGAAGCCAGGTGAGCGATGCTCCTTTCCTCTCGCAGAGAAAAGCAGAAAGGGTAAATAGAATTTTGCTCCTTTTGTGCTACCGAGGGAGCAGCCTTCACCCGAGCAGCGAGTGCTGTGAGCTGGGGCTCAGCTTGCAGGCTCTGTGGCTTTGTGTCTGGGTCTTGGGCTTTCTTGTCTCAAAGCCTGCTTGGAGATGAAAGTTCTGGCTCTCAGGGCGCAGGCAGGAGCAGGGGCTCCCTTTCCTCTCCGGACTGACCAGCAGGCTGCAGTTGCAGTAAAAATAATAGCTAAAAGTT